TTTTGTTGAATATTTTTATCAATTTTTGTTTCTATTGACTATTTTTATTTGGTTATCTTGTTCTAATTGTTTTTGTTGACTATTGTTATCTATTTTTGTTTCTAAATAAAATATTTTACTATTGCTCTTATAATTTATGACATGTTTCATGGTTTTGTGATTAATCAATAAATTTTTTCTACTAGATATATTTAGTAATGTCTCTTATATATGTCATGTTCCATAAACTTTTAGTTTTAACATCTTATTCTAGTTGAGCAAGAAAAGAAGAAAAATAGAATTTAAATATTTTCATCAATTGTTTGACTTATGTATCTTTCATTGGGATTTCATCACACCACAAGATTCTATTTAAGTGCTCAAACAATCATTTGTTGAGCTTGCGTATTATATGATTAATTCATTATTTGCTTTTATTGGATCTCAATGGATCATCTTTTCTTTCATATTGTTATTGATCATCATTTGTCTACTTGTCTATAAAGCCTTGATAACCTTATTTATTATTGATCTCATTGACCCTCATGATTACTCATTCACACGAATTCTTTTTTTGTATCAAAATAACACATATTTCTTGTTATTAAGATTTCTTTCCTCATTAAATTATTATCATTTCTTGTACTCAATTTTATACTAATGAAAAACATTTATTGAATTTTTTTCCACACCTACTGAGGATCATTACAAGAAAAGTGAGCTTTGACGATGCACCTTTTAGGGATGACATGTTTCCCCCACAAGTTATAGCGACAACATGTTGTTGTTATATACTACTAGTGTTCCAACCGCGCGTTGCGCGGTAGCGATAATATCATCTTCAAATGGAATGTTATAGACTAAAATTTGAAGTCCTCTTCTAAAAAAAATTAGGCAAATGTGCGTGGAAACTACTCATTAACATTAGAAGCATTTAAGAGGATTTGACAACAATCTTAGAACGATATGCTAATTTAAGTTATCTAACTATGCTCGAGAATAGTGTTGCAAAGTACTCTACAAATATTTGACTAATATTAGTAGTTTGTCTAATTATAAGTCACAGTTCTAATTGAATCTCATCTAAGGTAACAAAATCACGATTTTCATTTTATAACAAATTTAATTGAAATCTCATTTTTGAAGTTACGAAAAAGAAGCGTTCTATAACATTTCTAGTGAAAATTAGAGGAGTGCTTAAGTTGTAGCAACAATAGTGGAAGTTCAACGTGATGCATGAAGAATCACATCACCAAGCTAAGATAATGGATTTTTTCTCATAAAAAATAAAATTAATATCAAGTGTTGTCGTTGATCCACATATCAGATATTAAACTGATAAAAATACTACACTATATCATAACATTCTATAATAATTGAATTATAATTAGAGGGGTGTGTCAAACCTTGATATTATTAACACCAAGAAGACAGATAAATAACTACCTCATGTTGCCAAATTATCATCCTTGGTTTCACTTTTATATTTACACTATAATTTTTACCATTTAATCGGTTTTGATTCCAAACATGATATAGATTTCAAAGACAGTCATCCAAAATAAGACAACCCTATGAGGCAAATCTCATGATTTGACACAAAAACATCCAATCCACTTTTCTTATACACTTTACTTTGTTCAAATTATTTAACTCTTCATCAATGTGGGACAACTAAAAATCAACAACGATTCACCATTTAAGAATACTCAATTCTCATGATGTCACTTCAATACCCCAAGGTTTTCATTTATATATATATATATATATATATATATATATAAAGATTTTTTCTATTTGTATGGTTTTGATCCCAACCATGATTATTGATTTCAAAGAGGGTCATCCAAAGTAAGACAGTCCTATGTGGCAAACCTCATTAATCGACACTAATGCACCAATCCATCTTTTTATATACTTCACTTTGTTCAAATCTTTCAACTATTCACCAATGTGGGACAACTAATACTCAACCATAATTCACACATTTGAGAATACTCAATTCTTATTGTGCCACCTCAATACCCCAAGGTTTTTACTTTTATAATTCCTATGGTCGTAGCTCATCACCCCAAGGTTTTACTTATATATATAAAAATAAACATATAATAATATAATATAATTAATTTTGCATTATAATTTTTACCATTTGGTTGGTTTGGTTTTCAACCATGGTTATAGATTTCAAATAGGATATCCAAAATAAGACAATATTATAAGGCAAACCTCATTATTTGACACAAAAACATCCAATCCACTTTCTTATACACTTTATTTTGTTCAAATCTTCAACTATTCACCAATGTGGGACAACTAAAACTCAAGTACAATTCATCATTTGAGAATACTCAATTCTCATTGTGCAGTAATATCCCAATATTTTTCTCAAATAAGATAATCTTATGACTCAAGTCTCATAAGCTAACACAATATAAGATTTGTTTTGCGAAAATAAGGTCATCCAAATAAGATAAACCTTATGACTCAAACCTCATTAGTTGACACAATGAATCCCAATTTTCTTTCTTATACACATCTCCTTATTCCAATTTTTCAACCTCTCATCAATGTGGAATATCTCAAACTCAATCACAATTCATCAACACCTCAATTCTCAATTCTCATGATGCCACCTCAATACTCTTGGTTCTTCCTTTAATATATATATATATATATATATATATATATATAGATTTCTGATGATAAATGAACTTTTAGCGACGACAAAAGTCGTTGTCTTGTTTTTTATAGTGGGCCATGTTTTTACGTTCTCCCAGAGCCTATAAAAGGTCGGAAACGGGCCTGAGCATATATATATATATATATATATATATAATTGAGATCATGTGAGGCCAATGGTTTTTCGTGAGACCCGTAAAACCAATTCTCAACCCTTGGATTAGATCTACAATCTGAATATTTTTATAATCACAAAATTGCCACGTGACTTCTCAATAATCGCAAAATTGCCACTGTACAACTTTAGACCATTAGATCATTAGCTTATAAAGTTGATCAATGAACATAAATTAGTCTTACGGGTATCACGAAAAACCCTTGGTCTCACATTAACCTAACCCTATATATATATATTTATATTTTAATTATAATTATTTTATATGTATATTAATCAATTTAAGTAAAATAGTTTAAAATCATATTTATATTTTTTATTTAATGATTAATAATTTTTTATATTTATTAATTAATTTTAATAAATTAGTTAAAGTTATATATTTATATCTTGTTATAGGAACACATTAAATTTAGTATTTCAATCCTTATTATGATTTGTAAGGGAATTCAAAATTTCTTAACTTACAAGATCAACACTTTATTTTTATTTTTGTGAGCACAGAGTTGGAACTTACAATGAGAGGTGAAACGCCAACCCGCTGAAGATAAAGGGGAGCCAGAGCCAGAGCCAGAGCCGCGTGCTTCAAAACCC